TTGAAGTTATGGACCCATACATTTGGCAGATATGACAATACAATAAGAGGAGAAATTGCATTATTGGCCCAATTGGAGGCGCTATATCTCAGCTTCCTTTGAGGGTGCGTTAAAATTTCTACTATGGTCTTATTTCCAAGGCACTTGACTGTCACCACGCAAATTTGCAGACATTTTTACTGTAGCATTTTGAAGTTATGGACCCATACATTTGGCAGATATGACAATACAATAAGAGGAGAAATTGCATTATTGGCCCAATTGGAGGCGCTATATCTCAGCTTCCTTTGAGGGTGCGTTAAAATTTCTACTATGGTCTTATTTCCAAGGCACTTGACTGTCACCACGCAAATTTGCAGACATTTTTACTGTAGCATTTTGAAGTTATGGACCCATACATTTGGCAGATATGACAATACAATAAGAGGAGAAATTGCATTATTGGCCCAATTGGAGGCGCTATATCTCAGCTTCCTTTGAGGGTGCGTTAAAATTTCTACTATGGTCTTATTTCCAAGGCACTTGACTGTCACCACGCAAATTTGCAGACATTTTTACTGTAGCATTTTGAAGTTATGGACCCATACATTTGGCAGATATGACAATACAATAAGAGGAGAAATTGCATTATTGGCCCAATTGGAGGCGCTATATCTCAGCTTCCTTTGAGGGTGCGTTAAAATTTCTACTATGGTCTTATTTCCAAGGCACTTGACTGTCACCACGCAAATTTGCAGACATTTTTACTGTAGCATTTTGAAGTTATGGACCCATACATTTGGCAGATATGACAATACAATAAGAGGAGAAATTGCATTATTGGCCCAATTGGAGGCGCTATATCTCAGCTTCCTTTGAGGGTGCGTTAAAATTTCTACTATGGTCTTATTTCCAAGGCACTTGACTGTCACCACGCAAATTTGCAGACATTTTTACTGTAGCATTTTGAAGTTATGGACCCATACATTTGGCAGATATGACAATACAATAAGAGGAGAAATTGCATTATTGGCCCAATTGGAGGCGCTATATCTCAGCTTCCTTTGAGGGTGCGTTAAAATTTCTACTATGGTCTTATTTCCAAGGCACTTGAC